TAATTAGTATCCACGGATTATTACCAAAAACTAATGAAAACCTAGCATTAGTTCAGAGCATGTATGTACAAAGTTTCATCAAAATCCAATGAGTGGTTGTTTAGATATCAGTGGAACAATCATGGAACAGCTAAAAATCAGCTAATTATCATGCAAATTAGGTAATTAATATGCACGGATTTTTACCAAAAACTAATCAAATCTGCGCATATGTTCAGAGCATCTATGTACCAAGTTTCATCAAAATCCAATGAGTGGTTGTTTAGATATCAGTGGAACAATCATGGAACAGCTAAAAATCAGCTAATTAACATGCAAATTAGGTAATTAATATGCACGGATTTTTACCAAAAACTAATCAAATCTGCGCTTATGTTCAGAGCATCTATGTACCAAGTTTCATCAAAATCCAATGAGTGGTTCTTTAGATATCAGTGGAACAGTCATAGAACAGCTAAAAATTAGCTAATTATCATGCAAATTAGGTAATTAACGAGCATGGATTTTTACCAAAACCAAATCAAATCTGCGCATTAGCCCAGGGCATCTATGCACCAAGTTTCATCTAAAACCGATGTGTGGTTCTTGAGATAGCAGTGGAACAGTCGGACACACATACACACATACACACACACACACATACAGACACACACAGACACACTAACTGCAAAGACTCCCATTATGTGCTTCGCACATGGGAGTCAAAAACCAGAGGTTGAATTACGCTTACCTTCATGGAACCATTGTTTACATCTACAACATTGGAGCATCTTCAAATACCATCTGAAGAAAAACAATGGCATGTTCGAGAAATGGTTGATTACATGTCCAAATGTTGATTTTTGGTGTATTTTGGAACAAAAATGGTCGCGAGTTGGCCAACGGTCAACCAAATCGAAAATAAATCAATGTGCACATATCTCTTATCATAACTTGTCTTTGTACCAGCTTTGAAGAAAATCTGTCCACCCATCTCTGAGAAATGATAACCGACGCACGCATAGACAGACGGAACCCAAAACATAAGTCCCAATTTGGGACTACAAGGACTAAAAAATTATAGTAATCTTGATTCCAGAATGAACATATCATGAAAACAGAAAAATAAAATGAATGTTCCAATATTCTGCAAAGAAAAGTGATGTGTGAAGTGTGTGTGGTCTCAAAGTTATGACTTTTATTTAACTTTACACCTACTGAGTGACAACAGACCTACCAAGTCACGAAGCTTACTATTTTCATAATTTATATTAATATTTACCGTAAAAACTTGACTAATTCGCGGTAGTAAAAATAATTATTTTTTCAAGTGCACGAATTAATAGCGTCAAAACGGAAATTATTGGTTTTTGGTGCGCGAATTAAACGAGTACTTTTAGATCGATTCAAAAAGAAGCCGTTTTCATAAATTTATTAGTGATTTGTTTTGTTTTCCAATGAACACGATTACGGGATGTTTTTTTAGTGCCTCTGAGACTCATGGCTAGCGACATTCATGGCGTATAGTCGGACAGAGAACACGCACTGCGTCAAGGACCACGCACCATGTTACACTTGAAATGAAACAGTGAAAAATGGCAAAGGTCACTCTGTACACAAACAAACAATGAACACGTGGCTACAAATTGGGACGCAATTGAACTTCAAGTACTTTAGCGAAACTTGTTGCGCGGTGATGCTGACATCAAGTGTGTGTTGACCGAAGTTTGACCCCAAGTCACGCACTGAACTGGCGCGTTACCTTAGCAACCTTTTTCTTTCGTGCCCCGCGCGTCAAACTAGTAAAATTGTTATTAATTATATCCGAAGGTACTGTAATTACGCAACTTGTATGCAACTCTGTAATGGCTTGAATATATCAACGTCGTTTACTTAGTGCACTGCTTTTCTAATTACGCAAATTTGTTTACAATATTGTACCAGCTCTGAATATTTCAACTTCGTAATGTATTGCTTTCATGATAATTAGTTTTTTTTTAACTATTGTTAGGGCACTGACCCGGGGTATTAGGTCTGTGAATATTTCAATATCACCGACTTGATAATGCGTTGCATTCGTAATAATTACGCAAACATAAACATACCATGCGTCAAATTAAATTTTACTATAATATAATAAACTCTGGGTAGCGGACTTCGATCGCATTATTCACGTAAAGGCGGTGATAACAGAGATCATCTGCGATTGCGGCGACACCAAATACTGATAACATAACATTATATGTATATTTTTAATGTTCATGCAATATATTCTGAGTTGTCCACTTTATTCTGGCGCCCGAATTAATAGGATACAATTTTAAACATGTTTTTGAACGCCGCGAATTAAAAGGATACATTTAAAAATTAGCCTTCGAAAATAAAATGGGTGCGCGAACTAATAGAGACCGCGAATTAATCGAGTTTTTACGGTACTTTTGTTATCAAACATTCTCATGCTAGTTGGCAGAAATATTTGATGTTGCAGTGGAAAGGCCTAAAAGGTTTGTCAGAGCTTTTCTGATACTGTATAGGGTTTAATTATTCACTTGGTTATATTGTATATTATTTTGCTGATAGCCAAATGCACTAAATTTAAACCCAGTAAACATTGACACTAGAATGTATATGTATGAATGAACTTTATAGTTCCCGTGTAAAAAAGAGTAGGTTACATAGGGTGTTTGCAACAATAAAGAGTTTTTATTAACAAGACAATATTTTGAAAGTAACTTGAATGAATGTACTTAAAATTCACAAATAAATAAATATGTATAAAAAAAAAAAAAAAAATAAATACACAAATAAATTTTTAAAGAAATCTAATCTCTAATTTTGGTCGCAGTTAAAATAAAGTTTGATATCTCTTGTTGAACTAATTTATCTTGATGTGAAAGTATTGTTTACTTCACAAACCTAGTCCAACCTAAAATCTGCTAATATTGAACCCGGTGCATATTTCCCTTGCATCTTGGGACATGACTTGTAGAATATTAGGTTATTACGAGGATACCTTAAAGTATGTACAAAGACAGTACAGCAGGAGTATCGACCCATGCGCAGCTGTAACATATGAAGTTCCGGTGACAGATGTATTATAATAACTTTTATCTGTAATGTTTTTTTTCAGGTGAATGGAGTGCTTGGATGGATTGGACAGAATGTAGTTCTAAATGTAATGGTGGTGCTCAGGTTAGAAGTAGAACTTGTATCAATGGTGGACAATGTCCGGGTAGTGATATTCAGTATAGAGCTTGTCGTCAATCCCCATGTCTAGGTAAGTTGTTAATTTATAGAGGGAGGGTCATCACCTGCGCACACGCAGGAATTGAGTCCCAAGCGACGATAACAACACACACTAATAATGCAAAGGCTCATGGGTAGACGCTTGTTTGTAAAGAATGACACGCTATGGCCATCTGACGCATGCGCAGGTGATGACACTCCCGCTTTCATTTCAATAATAATAATAATTGTAGTTTACCCTTTTCTTAAAATATTCTTGTGAATTGCCAATGTTTACATGCACGGTCTAGATACATTAGCCAATAAATATGATTTGGGAAAAAGGTTCATTGATGATTGTGTTCGAATGAGCCTTGTTGGAATAAAGTGCTTTAAATAGGAAATCACTATCGCATATGGAATATGGTTTATGCATTTTCCAAATGCACTGAAGTTAAGCATATGCAATTTACATATAGAAATAGCCTGAAGAGACAATATAACATTCAGTGACAGCGCAATCAGCTAAAAATTAAACCCAGTATATTTCTCCCTGTGCTAATAGTTATAAACAAACAAACAAATAAATAAATAAATAACTTTGTATATTTCAGAAGAAAAGAAGAGTAGTCCCTGGACTGTCTGGTCAGTTTTCAATAAAACAGATGATGGTTATTATGAGCGCAGACAAAAGTATATATTTAAAGCTCGAGTACCTATACCACAAGATTTATATTATGCAGGCACAAAAGATGAGGTCAGATACTGTCCCAATTTAAATAATCCATGTGTACCCCCAGGTAAGTGTTTTTGCAAAATAAATTTTGTTGAAAAGATTTGTTTGAGATTTTTTTTTTTAATTTAAAAAGAAATTCAACAAAATTTCATTTATCAAAATAAAGCACAAATTCATGACAATTTAAAAACCAATAATCACCTATCCCATTTTGGAAAAGAAATTGTCTAAAAACTGTTTTATTTTTATTATTTTCTTTTCCTTACATAGTGACTCTTTGTATTCATCTCGTCTGTCCAATTTCTGACTAAATAGGTATATATATATATATATATATATATATATATATATATATATATATATATATATATGAGGAAAATATTTTGCCTCTGTTTTAGCTTCAACCTCAAATTAATTATACTGGTCTCCAAGACAAATAAGTCATATCACATACTCTCATTTCAGATTATCCATTGTTGTCCTAAAACATTGGCTTCTTCTTTGAATTTTAATCTATAAATATTTACAAAAGTGTACAGTTAACAACAACCGTGGGTAATCAGATATTGGAGTACTGTCTATATTAACAAAAATGAATATTTGGTGGTATTGAACCAAATCAATCACATACTTCATTGTTAAACAACAATGGTTGAAGAATTATTTGCTGTTCACTTGGCACTGGTCAAATCAAGTTTCACTAAACCACAAAATATTCTATTCTAAACCAGGTGAAAGTGAATT